CCTTGATTGAATTGGTAGGCTGAATTTAACTCACATAAAATCCTTTGAAATTCATATGTTTAGGTAACCATGAGGCTGCATAAAAATTCTAAACATGATTGCTCTGAAACGGCTGTTGATCTGGGTAAGGAATGGGTAGTAGCAAATATAAGGGTTACTAGTGAGTTGTTGGGTGTCTCATCAGAGGGCAATAGCGATCAGGCACTGTCCATTCTTCATGCAATTGTGGAAGGAAGAGAGGTTGTAGTGACAAATGAGGTTGTGAATAAGAGACCTTTATCGTCTTAGAAAGGGGAGCAGGACGTCAAGAATCCTATCTCTTATGTCAACTATGAAGGGAAGAGAGGGGCAGTGAGGGAGAGGGGAAGGACTACAAGTAGGAGTGGAAGGAGGGGAGATAATTATATCTGGTTCTTAATGAAGCTACGAATCATTACTTGGAATGTTCGTGGTCTTGACGATCCGGACAAAAGGAGGGCGGTGAAGGTAGAAGTGGGGCGCCCAGGTTGTCTGTTTACAAGAAACCAAGAAGGCCTCTATTTCTGATGGGATTGTTAGGAGTCTTTGGGGTGAAAGGTTTGTGCAATGGGAGGCCCTGAATGCTTCAGGTACCTCCGGTGGAATTTTAGTTATGTAGGATCGCAGATGGTTGTCTCGGATGGACGTTTGGATGGGGAGGTTCTCTGCGTCCTGCGTGTTCAAGATGGAGAAGGGCAACTTCAGATGGGTTTTCTCTAGGGTCTACGGACCGGTTGTTGATGGTGATAGACCTCTCTTTTGGGAGGAGTTTTGCCATGTACAGTGATTGTGGTCTCTTCCTTGGTGCCTGGGTGGGGATTTTAACTCTGTTAGATCTCCGTTACAGAGGTCCACAGGGGGAAGGTGGTCTTCGGACATGACTCAGTTTTCTGATTTTATTGATGGACATTTTCTCATTGATCTGCCAATGGAAGGGGCAGCCTTTACCTGGTTTAATGGCAATGACCCAGTTACCTTATCAAGGCTGGATAGGTTCTTGATCTCTGGGGAGTGGGAAGAGAAATTCCTGGATGCTGTTCAAGCGGTTTTAGCAAGGGCCACCTCTGATCATGTTCCTCTGGTTCTAGACTGTGGGGGTCTGAGGTCTCGGTATTCCCCGTTTCGATTTGAGAATATATGGCTGAGAGCGGAGAACTTCTAAAGGAAAGTTCGGTCTTGGTGGGAGGAAGCAACGGTTATAGGTTCTTCCAGTTTTGTGTTAGCCAGGAAGCTAAGGGCTCTCAAATCGAGCTTAAAAGGTGGAATAAGGAAGTGTTCGGGAATCTTAAATGGAGGAAGAATAGAGTCCTTGCTGATTTTTCTGAGATTGATCGTCTTGAGGAGGCGGGTCGGGATGTGGAGTCTCTACACTCTAGGAGAACTTCCTGTCAGGCAGTTCTTGCTAAGATTGCTAGCATGGAGGAGATCTCGTGGCGCCAGAAATCTCGTGCCTTATGGCTCAAAGAGGGAGACCGTAATGCGAAATTTTTCCATAGGCTTGCTAATGCCCACAGAAGGAGTAATCACATAGGCGAATCCAAGTGGATGGTCTGGAGTTGTGGAAGGAGACAGAGGCGTGCAATGGGATCGTCTCTTTTTACCAGAAGCTATACACTGAGCCGTTAGGATGGAGACCAAGACTTGACGACCTTCATTTTGATGCTATTTTTGAGTTGGATAGAGATGGTCTTGAGATCCCTTTTTCCGAAGAGGAAGTGTTAAAGGCTTTATCGAGTTGCAATAGTGACAAAGCTCCGAGGACAGATGGGTTTACTATGCAGTTTCTGATGGAAAGTTGGGAGGTGGTGAGAAACGAGGTGATGGGTACCTTTCAGGAGTTTCATTCTAACTGCGTCTTCAAGAAGTCGTTAAATGCCTCTTTCATTGCCCTCATCCCTAAGAAGGGTGGCGCTTCTGATATTAAAGATTTTAGACCAATTAGCCTAGTGGGCTGCATTTACAAGCTCATTACCAAAGTTCTTGCTCTTAGGATGAGAGATGTCATGGACAGGATTATTTCGGATTCCCAGAATGCTTTTGTCTAAGGACGGCAAATCCTAGACTCAGTTCTTATTGCAGGCGAATGTGTGGATTCCAGGTTGAGAAGTGGTGTCCCCGGAGTTTTATGCAAGCTTATGATCACGTTAATTAGAATTTCCTGCTGTACTTACTTCAGAGAATGGAGTTTGGAAGTAGATAGAAGAAATGGATAGAGACATGTCTTTGGTCCATAAAGTTCTCTGTTCTCGTGAACAGGTCTCCTGCTAGTTTCTTCGGGTGTTCTCGGGGTTTGAGACAAGGAGATCCCTTGTTGTCTTTTCTTTTTCTCGTCGTCATGGAGGGCTTGAGCAGACTTATGAGGAGTGCAGAGGATCTCGGTCTTATCAAGGGCTTTGGGGTGGGCAGAGATCTAGCTCATCAGTTGGAGATCTCTCATTTACTGTTCACGGATGATACCTTGGTCTTTTGTGATGCTGATGTGTCTCAACTTATATATTTGAGGTGCACTCTATTCTGTTTTCAGGCAGTTTCTGGGCTGAAGGTCAATGTAGCCAAGAGCATGCTTGTCCCAGTTGGGGATGTTCAGGATATTTCCTCCTTAGCCGCAGTTCTTGGGTGTAAGGTGAGCTCTTTCCCTATCCCTTATTTGGGTTTGCCTTTGGGGGTCTCCTCTAGGAGGGTGGGGAGTTGGGATCCTGTGATTGATAGGTACATGAAGAGATTGGCAGGGTAGAAGAAGTAATATCTGTCAAAGGGGAGGAAAGTTACTCTCATAAAGAGCACTCTCTCGAGCCTTCCTACTTATTTTTTATCTATATTCCAAATTCCATGCTCTGTTGCAGAAAGGATTGAAAAGATCCAAAGGGATTTCCTCTGGGGCAGAAGGGGTGAGGAGTTTAAATATCATCTCGTCAGGTGGGAGCAAGTTTGCAAGCCCATGAAGTCGGGTGGTCTGAGTATCCGGAGGTTGGTTCCCTTTAACTAAGCTCTTTTGGGTAAATGGTTACGGAGATTCGGCAGGGAAAGGCATCGCCCTTGGAGAAGGCTTGTTTCATGTCGTTTTGGGGAGAAGAGTGGCAGTTGGTCTACTCGTCCAGTCTCTATTACGGGCAGAGTTGGTGTGTGGAAATTCATTCAGAAGGGCTGGGATGTCTTCTCTTCCCATATCAGATTCAAAGTTCGTGATGGTAGATGTGTATGATTTTGGGAGGATTTATGGTGCGGTAACCAACCGTTATCTTGTACCTTTCCCAGTTTGTAAAGTATTGCCACTGATATACATGCCTACGTAGCTTACTGTTACCGGTTTGATAGCAGTGGGATTATGTGGGACGTGCGCTTTAGGCATTCTTTTCAGATTAGGAGATGGACAAAGTATGACTTCTGGATTTGTTGTATCAGCAGCAGGCAGTTGACAGAGGTCGTGATGATCTTCTGTGTGTCCCCTCTACCCATGGTAGATTCGATGTACGGTCCATGTTTCAATGCCTCTCCAACTTCGTTGGCCTTGATTTTCCATGGAAGACCATATGGCGCTCTAAGGCTCCACCTAGAGTGGCATTCTTTGTATGGACTACCGTAAGGGGCAAGATCTCGACGATTGACAACATGAGGAAGAGAGGCAACAATATTGTTAATTGGTGCTACCTTTCCAAACGAGATGGTGAGTCAGTGGATCATATCCTCCTGCTTTGCCCCATAATGTACGACTATTCCCATAGCGTACGACTATTGGAACCTTATATTTGGCTTATTTGGTATGCTTTGGGTAATGCTTCGATCTTCTAAGGGTAATGCGTGGAGGGGAGGTCGCGTGAGAAGCAGTGTACGCGACTATTGAAGGACAGTTCCACATTGCGTTTGGTGATGCATTTGAAAAGAGAGGAATAGCAGAATATTCGAAGGGAAGGAGTCGTCCATAGTGACACTGAAACTTCATATTATTCGTTCTATCTTTAGTTACATGAAGAGGAGTTCTTGCTCTTCTTCCAATGACTTAGTTAATTTTTTGGATTCTTTGGGTCCTTAGATCCCGGTTCTGCTTTTGTATAAGGGACGCGTTCCTCTTTTGAACACTTTTTAATCGATTATTATTTATCAAAAAAAAAAAAAGTATGCCTCAAAAGCTATGCTTATATATTGTTTCCAAAGGTAATCTGCACTCATACTAATGCCACTTCATTTGATTTTTTCAAACTATCTGAGTCTTTTAAATAGATAATCATCCCTTTCTACTAATAAAGAATGATTAATCTGGCTAACCAGACAATTTGACCAATATGGGGCAATATTCCCACCAAAACACTTAATTTCATGGTAGAAAAACAAATGAAACTTCTAATGATGTACTGGGGGTTAAAATACACGTCAAGAGATTATAAATTTGCTTTTCTTTTTCATGCCAATACAGTTTCCCAGCAGAACTTCAGAATTTCTTAAAGCCCAGTTAGGATCAAGAAGTCAATACCAATTATAGCCCTGTAAAGTAATATATCTGTTCAATAAATCACCGCATGGCTAAATAATGATTGACCTTTTACTCTGATCTCAACGTCTATTAAAAAGACATGGGTTCACCATCTAACATGTCCCAATTAATAAATCAGTTAAAAGAAAAAGTTTTTTAACTACCCAATTTGCAAATTCACAACTTGAAAATATCGAGTGTTTTTTTTTCCTACAAAAATCAAAATGTTTAGATCATAAAACCTAGATGAATTCTGATGCCTGAGACCTAGTAAACTTGACACCTTTTGACTGTGTCTTGCTTCTCCATGCTGAATTGGCAGAACTAAGAGGTACTAGTTTACACTCCACAAAAGTCTACAATTACCTCAAAATAATAATAATAATAATAAAGTACACGTCACAATTTTGAATTACTAAAAAACCCTAATCAGCAGAGCTATGGATTGCGAATGTAAACAGAAAACAACAAATTCATAGAGAATTTATAAGATATTCATTGAGAGAGAATGAACCTGGAGACCAGCGCGCGAAGAGCGAGAGACGGGTTTTTTCTTGTCTTTGTCCTTGTTGGCTCCGTTTAGGGCAGAGGACTTGCCCATTATCAGACCTTTCGCTCCTTTACCCGACATTTTGTCTTCACCAAAACAAAGTTAGGGTTTTCGTTGCTCGACAAATCAATAGCGGAGAGCAAGGTATCGATTGTGTATGTAACGCGATTTTGCGAGAGAGAAAAAGAGACGGAAACTATCGGGCGAATCTAGAAGTCTATTTCCGTGGGTCTAAAAGACGATATTACCCCTCTAGAACCCAGGACCAAAACAATCTTGTGACGTCGTGGACTTTGTCGTACTATGTAAAATTTATTTATTTATTTTTTTTTTCCGAACAAAAATATTTTAGGGATTAATTATTAGAGGGAATGCAAGAACGTCAGGTTTAAAATTAAACAAATATTGTGAAAAATATCTGAGTAATGTTATAAACTAAACAACTTTAAAAAAATATCTGATAAATAGCGAATTTCAAGACATAACTATTCACTTTTCATACGGTTATGTAAAGAATTACTTTTTGAAAATTGGGAGAAGTTTCTCCTCACTCTTTTCTTCTTCTTTTTTCCCCTCCAACCATGGATTCTCAAACCAATTTGATCATACTTTGAATTTTTATTTTTTTTATGCATAAAATCAAACTGAGATCAAATAAATTTTCTGATGAAAAATGTCATTCAAATGGCCAATTTATAGAAGAAATTGGAAAATTTTAGGGAGAAGAAATAATATAGAAGTGTAGGAAATATGTGAGAAACAAAACTCTAATCTTCGGTTCCATGTATGTCTGGTATACAATGGTACTTATGTCTCGAGCTATCTTGTTGAGAACTCTTTCATAGTTTGAGGTAAGTGGATAATGTAGATTTCTTAGTTCTTGATCACATTCATGAACTGAAATAAAAGATAAAGAGAGAAAGAGAGGAATGGGGTTTAAGCAGTTTTTTTGTGGATGTTCAAAATATACACATGTTAATTGATTTTAAGTCAAGTAAGTGAAAATAGTCAATAATATCATTTTTTATTATATTTTTAATAACCCAGGAGTAACTACTCTGTGGTACCTCAACCAATATCAAATATAGCATGTATGTGTGCCCGTTTAAAACTTGAAGTAATTGAGTCAACAGTACGACAATGCAATTATATAATAAGACATAATTGAGTTGATAGTGGAACACGACGTAATTGAGTCAATAGTACCACAATGCAATTAACTAAGAGTAATGTTGTAGACTTAATTGAGTTTTTTTTTTATACTACTTGAATAGATAGTCCAATAATAAGATACATTATCTCTTTTGATAAAGTATTTTTATCAATAAATGTCACATCAGTTGGTAACAAAAACTGATCAAGAAGTCTACATTTTTTTTCATTATCTAATATCAAAGACTATAACCATTAACCATCCTAAAACTCATGACATTAATTTGGTGGCTGCATTGTATCTCATGCTTAACCGCCACTACATGTTCCCAATCACCTAATTATTAAAAGTAAGAAAAATAGAATGTTAAGTAATGAATGATATATGTAACTTTCAAGAGTATATAACAAGTGTACCAGTATTATACGTGGAGCTAAAATTTGTATGACTTCAGTGCCTCTTGTCCAAAATAAAAGTAAATGGTTTGTGTTTCGATTCAGTTGTTCACTGCTGCACAAACCGTGAAACACAAGTGAACAGAGAATCTAGCAGCGGAGATCGAGCACCGTACTAGTCTACTAGATCCGTTGTTTAGTTATAACGTTAAAATATGTTAAACCTTGTGTCTATCATGTGTAGTCGTTTGACAGTTAAAATTTGTTTATGACTCGACTTATACTTCGCAAACTCATACAATTACCAATGAGAATGGACCCATGAAATTGGCTAATGTATTGACCAGTATAAAACAACGACATTAGCACTTGGGAGAGGGCCTGATGTCACGGACGATTGCGGTCCAAGTCCGTGACGCTGAGCTGTAAATAAACCATCATGAAATTAAAACAAGATTAAAGGGAAACGTTAAAAGAAATTTTACACTAGCTCAAATCAACGCAAACCTACTTTTTAAATGCACATTAGTTCAAACTAGCTCGTTGTTCCATTCAAGACTCGCACCGATTTTACAAACTAGGGAAATCATAGGCCTTATAAGATGCAAAAAGCATTTCCTGCCGGCCGAACAAGCTCCTGTAATGGGCACGTTCTCCTTAACATATATAATCACAACATCCTCTATTTTTCTGCATTTTTCATTTTATCTATCACTGAAGTACTGATTACAAGGAAAGAAACAAAAAAGGTATTCCCAAAAACATAGCTAAAAGCAAAAAAGAAAGGAAAATACAGAGAATTATTATTGTAAGTTTTTATTATTATTATTTAAGATAAAGATGGTTCCTTGAAAGTCACACCCACAAGCTCACAACTAATGACCCGGCAGAGAGAACATGGTCAGTGTTCCCAGTCAACCATCTGCAGTGTTTTCCTTCACTCCAGTCTTCTCTTTGGCAATATGTAAGCTCTCGATCTTTTGGGTAACCTCATCGGCTGCAACATTTACTTTTAAGGTTGGCCCGTTTGCAGATGTATCATGCTCATTATTACTCGAAGGACTGATCTGCCATATCCTGATGGTTCCATCTTCAGATCCAGAGGCATAGGATTCACCTCCGGGTGAGAACCGAACACAATGTACTGGACCATGGTGGCCTTTGTTGCATCCTGCAACAATTTAATTTAGTGCAACGGTAAGGCTCAAAGAACTGAAAATATGGAGATAAGCATGCATCAGAATTGAGTCTCCCGAAAGGTTTAAAAAACCTTGAGTCAGAAATTTTGTTTTCAAGAAAAAGAAAATTCATACTTCCACTAGAAAAAAGCCAATCCATTTTAGGAAAGGGGGAAAAGTTGGTAGTTTCCTTGAATGCTGTTTAATCCCAAGGCACAAAAATCAGCAACAAGCACAATTGTCAGGGTTCAATAGCCCCAATGTTAGTTCAGAAAAGATGTCTTGATCAAGTTCCTATGAAATAACTCTTAAACAAGAGTTTGGCAGGTTTTATAAAAGTGCAAGAATAAAAATTTGGCATTAAACAACATGAATTTATCCAATTTTTGTACTAAAAAAAGTTACTTTGTGCCTTCATGCAGCATCAATATCAATGCAAGTCACAGGTGCGGTGTCGCAAACACCATCTATATACAGTTAAGACATAATGCAAATTCCAATCCTATCTCATTTGAGCACGGCACTGTAAATGACTGATACTTCTAGTAATACGCACAGAGCAACAGACATGCAAACTGAATTCAAATTACATACAAACAACGGTAGAAGTATTGATTCAAGGACACCTACCAAGCTCTTCACCAGTATGGAAGTCAAAAATATGAATCCACAAGTCTTCTCCCCCAGCTATAAACTTATTACCAAGCTTTGGTTCCAATGACGCCGATTCCACATTGCATGGCATGTTGTAGCTCTTGATTAATCCAAAACTAAAAAGTAAATGGTGAAAATTTGTCGGCCATTCATGCATTTGCAAGGAGTAACAAAACAATCCAATTTGATACTTACTGATTTGCATCCCAAAACTTAACTGTAGACCCATCAGCAGTAGTTATGTAGCGGCCATCCTGACTTACTTCAGCGCTGGTTACTGGTGCTTTAGTCTCAAGTGTTTGCACAATTTTGCCACTTCTCACGTCCCATAACCTACAAAAAAGCCAGTTAAATCAGGGAAATAAAATGAGCATTGCTGGGTGAATAAGGACTCAAGATCTCCTAGATTGTTAAGTATTAAGTGCTAAAGGACTCAAGGAGCACTAAGTAGTCAAGGTCTCCTAGAGTCTAACTGTAAGTGCATCATTAAGTGTCAGCCTGAGCCAATTATATTATTAAATAAATTAGAATCAAACGTTAGATATCTGCAATATGATATCTAGCAAGTCAAATAACAGGTGGTCAAACAACGGGTCGATTAAAAAAAAAAAACATACAAAAAATATGATTGATTGGTTAAAAATTAAAACTGAGCTTTTTTGGGGGTCCTGGAGCCGTCTTAAGAGCACACACTTGAGAGTTCTGCATGCCATAACTGGAGGACTAGGAGCCTCTATTGTAGTAGATTGAGGCAATGAGCCTTGACAAGCTGGGCTTTTTTGTAGTCCAGGCTCGCTTTCAACAACTATGACAGCTCCAAACAAACAAACAAAAAAAAGGGTGCAAAACACTACATACACAAATCTCCACCGTTAAATGCTCAGCATTAAGTACCTTTATAAAACAAGGATGACACATCAATTCATTCCAGGAGTTCTATAATTCATTTTTAATCACCATATACCAAGTCATAAATTCTAGTTTGACCAATCAATAAGGAAAAACAACTACTATAAATCATAAAAAAAATCAACATAATAGTATTGCTATCACTCGCATAACTATTCTGCGCATACCTTACGCCCCCAATATCACTGCAGGAACTTAATATGGTCTGGTCACTGTGAAGAAATGCAACAGTTCTAACTGAACCGGGAGAGTTATCAACTTCTCTTGGAGGTGCATCTGGTTGATTTAAATCGAAAATGCGAAGTATTTTTTCAACACCACCAGTGAGTAGCAGGCGTGTATCCTGTAGTCAATCAACAAACTTTGATTCAGCCTACATGTAAAGGAGATGAAATGCAATAAGTAGTCCAGTAACATATGAATGTTCCAGACTTATTGTTTGCAAAGCCACAGTAGGTGAATCAACCATAAATTCACAATAATTTGAAACCTAAAAAAAACTGCACGTCGACATTTTTTTGTATCAGAATAAGAACTGATGCACAAGGAAGGAAATGTGTGAAAAACAGATGTTATTGTAAAAACAAAAGAAACTATAAAAACTGTAAAGAAATTATACATAAAAAATGGAAATACCCCTTTCAGGACTCCATACATAGTCAAAACCTGTCCCTCAACAAGAAGCACAGAGCAAATCTTACATTGTCAAAGAGCTTCCATCTGATAAATTCCTGCGTACTAACTAGTAAATCAAGTGCACATAAAGGCCAGCGAAATTTGGTGATATTATCATTAAAGCCCAAGAATTAGCTAAGAAGAAACATTTTAAGAAATTTGAGATAGAGAGGAGAGAAGAGGAACAGAAAAACACAACAAAGCCTGTAAATTGAACAATTCATGCTATCATCTTATTTTTGTTGCACTAGCTCTTCTGCATTAGATAAACAGATGGTAAGTTAAAATAAGGCCTCATAGTTAGAAACCAAGGTCTCCATAGTCATTTGAAAAATCACATGCCATACATTCCAGCCTTGAAAATAAGTAAGATAACATAAAAATCCACCCTAACATATAAAAAGATGGGACAACAGAAAAAGAAATCAGAACTACCTCAGAAAAGGCACATGCCCGAACAATGTGTTTGTGTTCAAAGGAGTGCAACACATCCCCAGTCAATGCATTCCACAATTTCCTGCAAACAAGAATAGATGCGTCAAGAAGAGGCAATTTTAAAACTTAGGACCAAACTACACTGGGAGACTGTATAAATGTCTCCTTGTAAAGTAAAAGATAAGAAAAAAATCATGGGCATCCCCTGCCATTAAAGGGGCATAAAGAACAAATTTTACAGCATTAAACATTGCCACAGAAATGAAAATAGTAAAAAAAATAAACTTTTGCATTGAACATATCGGTAAGAAAAGAAGCTTGATCACATACGCAGTGAAATCAGCAGACCCAGATGCAGCATGTAGAGCATTAGTATCAAGGCAGCAGCTCCACACTGCACCTTTATGACCTTCAAAGGTTCCAATCCAATCTCCAGTCTCTCCATTTCTTAGCATTGGAGTAGAATCTAAATTAAAAATAATAATGATCATAAGTAAAACACAAAAGAAAACCAACCCACTCCCCCAAAGAAAAAAAGGAAGGACATAACTATCAGGTGAAAATGTGACAGTCAGCAATCAAAAGAATCCCTAAAGAGCATATATCAACAAATTATCAAACAAATAGAAAATATGGTTAAAAAAATGTTACTATTAGTGTACCAGGTTCCATTAACCAAAGAATACAACCAAAGCATCATTCAGTAATTAGTTTACAAAGTCCCACCGTGAAAAGATATAATGACCATCACATAATTCACTAATAACACATTAAACAAAGAGAATTAAAGTGTATCTTTATGTTCCCAAAAGTTTCCTACTTCACATCCTCATTAATCTATCTCATCCAAACAAAACTTGAGGGCTGAGAGAACTCCCAATGATTTTCTTTTACATCAAACATTAGGCTGGATCAAAGAGTTATCCAATAAACAAGACCAGCTTTATAGATACCCTAAACTGCCATGTACCACATCAAGTGGGTTGCAAGTAGGAACACACTAAAAGGTTCAGGTTAATATGCAAGGAAATTTATGTATTGTTTCTTGACATGAATTTCCAATGAGGGAACTACCTAAATCTTGCATGCCTAATGCTAGACAGGTGGCATGCCCCGTACCTTATGGAAAATCTCCCTCGCCCTTCAGTTACCAGCAGTTATTTCCTTACAATGAATACAGTGGATAGTCAGATCCATGGAACAGTTGGCACAACTTTAATGTTTCTAAATTAATACTTCACCTTAATTTTAGACATACAAAGGCAGTGGTACTTAAGATAAGTTCAGGTCACAACAATGAATGGGCTGGCTTTATAAATAACGGTATAGATAAAGGAACTTTTAAGCTAGGATTATTTAGATAATTTCTGACCGTCAATGTAACCAGGCGATCCTTGTCTGCTTAAACACAAAAGTAGGTCCATTACTTGTGCCTTGCAATAATCTTTTTTCTTTAAATTTTTTTTTATAACACACACTTTTGCCCATGCCAGGGCTCCTCCCCTCTTTGAGGGAGGGGAGGTTAAAGTAACATATTTCATGAGAACAAGAGCCAGGATCGCAACACACAAGTGCTTAGCTTGAACTTAGTTTTCTGAACTTGTCACAAGCCCGAGTTGTGCTGACAAATGAATGAGTTAAGTCCAAATAGTATTGAGGTCACCACACTAAATGCAGTGATTGATTGAAATTACATTATACTACCTAGAACCTTTTTAACACAACATAAAGAATTAGATCAGCTGCCACCAAATTACTTCCTTATGATAACATCAGCTTCAGGCTACATCTTCTTATTTGATATTTGATATGAAACATTACTTTCTCGTATAGTTAAGTGCTTTTTATATGCCCGTTTGTATAACAGATAAAAGTAATGCAACTTAAACAATATATTCAAACAATTTTATGGAATGAACATGCGCACTCAATTGTAGATCCGGTAACAGTGGGCAGTGGTTTTTAAACATGTGCTTTCAAAATAGTTTATGACAACCTAAAGAATGGAAATTCTTCCTTCTTGACACATGGTAGCAGCTTCTTATCCATAATTTCAAACATGCTGATGAAGAAAAGGATACATTAAGCAGATTGAATCTCACATAACGTTTGTTGCATTTTAAAGACTGATTTCAAATGAAGAAATCAAATGAAATTGATGTCTATCTAACAAAGTTTCTAGAGCATTATCATCGACTTAAAATTCCATGAATGATTGCATCCTTGGTGATAAATTATGGTAGAAAAATAAAACTATAATGGACAATTTTGCCAAGGAGTTCATGGAATTTTAAGTCGATGATAATGCTCTAAATATGTACGACTAACCTTTTTAACAAATTTTCCCCCCAAAATGTCACTTATTTTATAGCGGGAAATTAAAAAAACGGATCATGTATTATCAATAAACCGATCCTCAACCACATTCCATGATCCTACCTCCCACCGTATCGCCGCTAAATTCTACCCCATACTGGAATGGCCTACATTGAGCAAACAACTAGCAAAGAGATTACATACAATGATGCATATTTCCTTTACTGCTTGCTTATAAATACCATTATTTGGAACTTCAAGAAAATTTATTAAGTTTCCATCTGAAAACTCAAGGAATTAAATAAATGTCATTCTCAATAAGCTCAAACAATTTAAATTGAAAAAATCATTTATTCATTATCTCTTTCCTTCTCATGCTTCTATTTTAAAGACAACCAACAATCTGTTTGATGTGTCACATTACAAGTTTAATTGACTCAAAGAGTTAAAATAATGATTATTCTTGCAACTCTAAACTCTTTCACGAATATTTGCAGGGGCCACGTCAAATGACCTTGTAAATGTGAGATGCACTTTCTAATCACTTTTGATGTGCTGGCATGAGTGCCCATAGCCATGTTGGATCATGTTGACACAAGTATGCAAGGTGAAACAAATGTCCATGTTAGGCTTGTCAATGGATTGGATTTTGATTTGATAACTCGGGTGTGAATTAAAATTTAATCCGATAATTTGTTAACAATCCAAATCCAACAATCCTTTAAATTAACAAGCTGGATATGAATTTTGGTCAATTTGATCCAATAATAATCCGATCCAACCTCATATAATATATGATATGCTATAAAGATATTATTATCATTCGATTAGAATGTGTATTTGATGAAAAAATTAATAGAAATGTTGTTTACACAGTGGTTTATCATATATAATATTAGAACTGCTAATAAATTATCTTAGTTTTTCCCCATACTTTTCTCCTCTCTCTCTCTCTCTCTCCCCTAACATTTTCTCACTATATATATTTTTTTTTTAAAATAATCAAAAATCTAACTGTTCTTCTCTTCTTTTGTTCATATTTTTGGGGTCTTTTCTCTCTTTTTCTAATTTATATTGAATTTTTTTTAATCAAAAATCACCCCTCTTAACAAACCAGGTCATCAAAACAATAATCAATAGACAGCAAATTGGATATAAATTAAATAATAGATAATCCAATCAGATTATTGGATCAGATCGGATCACAAATATTCCTTACCGGATCAATCCAAACCATATGTGGCCCAAATCCGATCAGTTGAGTGGTCTGGTACGTGTTAAGATAACAAAGGTCTTTGCAAAAACAAAATTTATGTAATTTCTTGTAATCGGTGTCTTTTGGGAATGCTTTATTTTTCATGAAGCCCTCTAAAAAGGAAATGAGAGACGCTGCTACCACAAGCACATCAATAGAAAGTAATTAGCACCCATTTGCTAAAGATCCTTTCTTCTTTTAGCTCTATGCTCGCCACGTGGCCCATTTGATGAAAAACTTAATTTAATCAAATATCCAAGTCTCAAACAAAATCCCTAAGCCATCCACGAAAGCTTCCAAGCCCCTTAAGAAGCTGCGCCACACACAACCTACTAATCCATCATATTTTGCCTAGCATATAAAACATACGACAGACTCCAACTCGTAATGATATCACAATATTCAACAACATAATTGGAAATAATCTCACTCATCAGCATGCTACTATATCCTTATTTCTAACAGCCACTGGAGTACAAATCCTTGATCCAGTGAGACTCACATGGACACCAACATGTTGTGCTTCTTATAACCAGTCATTACTTCAAGTATGTGTGTGTAATGATGTATTGCAGATACTTAAAAGGTCAACAGCTTCATGATTTAAGGAGCCCTATTAAGCGTACCAGTTTTGTCATGGGCACTTCATTTGATAATTCCAAGATGCTTCCTTCAATCAATTTAAAATCAGCAAGGAAAGCCAGTTACCAATGCAAATACTAACCATCCAATGACGGATCCTAATCATATGTCCTAGTACCAAAAGTTGAAAATGAGTCAATTCTAGGTTCTGCCTATGAGGGTGCTGAGAGTGCAGAGATAGGCATATCATTTGACACTATTTTGTACAGAGTTCGATCCAAGGGTTTACCATTGCACCAAGCGACAGCCCGTCACAAGTCGAGACATTCAACTTGTTGTATAAAATGCATATAAAATCATTTCAATCCGACCAAAAACAGGTTGAACTCATTTGACTCCTCCAAATGCTTGGTAAATAACTGATGACTAATTAACTTTGCATAAGGCATCCAAACAACCAATTAATAAACTATATTATGTTTACAAATATTCATACCGTTCACTTCAAATTGTGCTGTTAGTCAAAATTAATTATCACAGATAAGTTAATCGCTCAAAATTTTGAGTTCCCAGTTGACTATCCACCACTACTGTGCTATTTAAAGGCACCCGGGTGCATGTCAAAAACAATAAATAAAAGTAAACAAACTCAAATAGAATACCAACCTCTAAATAACAAAAATAATTTGTTTTCTACATTTACACTGCCAATAGTCAGTCGCTCCACGCAAACGATGCTAATATCCACGCAAATAGAAATAAGATTTCTAGTTCCAATAAAAAAGAATCAAATAGAAAATAAAAAGAAACAAAATTTAAGTACAATCTTAAGGAAATCATCAGTAATCATCAGCATCATGAAAGCCCACATACATTGTAACAAATCGAAAAGTAAGCATTTCTATTTAAATTTACAGTTACCCTTGCTAGCACTGATGAGGAAGTAGCCATCTGGTGTAATTGGGCTGTAGAACAAATCAACAACTGGACGAGAATGCCCGTGGCAGACGAGCGGGACTGCAAGCTTCTTCTTATCCATCGCTTTCAGACTCAAATTCTCAAAACCCTAGGAACGATATCTTGATCAAATAGACTAACAAGCTCTTTTTTGTAATGTACCCAACAAAAAACGACCAAAATCGATTAACAAAACCAAGTCCTCGATCCTAAAAAGTCAGAATTCAAGAACCCAGGACCCTAAAAACCGACAATTGACCAGGAAAAAAAAAAATCACAATTGCCTGAAGAAAAATGCAATTTCGGAGAGAGAGCAAAGGTATTAGATCCTGTGATTGATCAAATCAAGTTATAGAACAGGAAGAAAGAAAACAAATTTTACAGACATTAGATGTTTGATACTATATATGTGTATGTATGCAGGAAGAAATGGCGCAACAACACAGGTGGGAAACCCCAATTTTGAACTTTGATCTCTGTAGAATCCACACCTCCTAACCCTAAAAAATAAAAATCTCTAAAACGATATATCAAAATTATTGTAGAAATTGAAGACAAATATAAAAGGGAAAAATACAAAAGACTAATCTAAACTATTGGGCTAGGCGCAGGGAAGCAAATGGAACATGAGTCATTATATAGTGTGGAGATGAGGTTCTTTTCTTAATTTTTATTTTGTTTTATTTGTTATTATTATTATTTATTTATTTATGTATGGTGCTAATGGGCTTTGTAAGCAGGAGCCCACTTTTTAAAATGTTATTATGATAGGGCCTGACTTCTATCCTAAATGAGTTTTCGTAAGTCATTTTCACATTTTATTTTGGGTCATCTAATCATTTATATTCTTAATTTTTTTTTCTTCTTAAAAACACGTGTATCGACCCTATAATACATATATCATTTAAAACAGGAGTGCAATTAGAAAGTGAGATCTCAATGACTTACCTTACGAATCCCTGTCAACGTCGCTATGCCTATAGAGACATTCATATTCTTATTGAACTCCTATGTCCCTCTAACAACTAATTTTTTTTAGTTCTTTTAATCTAAAAATCTAATTTTCAATCTTCTCCTTCTATATGTATACATAAGTGAGAGGAGAGTGAAAGAGATGGAGAGAAAAAGGGACACAAATTTGGGTTAGTCGAGGAACAGATTTGGGTTGAGAGCATGTTATAAGGAGAGAGTGAGGAGATAAAGTAACGAGGGGAGGGAGGAATGGTTTAGCATAAAAATTTTAAAAAAATAAAAAATAACCAAAAGGAGATTAAGGGTTCAAATCTCAGAAGAGACACATGTGTGTGAGTACCAACTAGGAAAAAAGAAAAAAAAAAAAAAAAAAAGTAAAGTAAAGTAACAATGAGGGAGGGGGATGGTTTAGGGAATATTGTTCATGTTGGTAAGGGACATTGAAGAAATAAATAGTTAATTGTGCACAAAAACTTATCTAGAAAATATTTTACGGACTGTTGCCAAACACGAGAAAATAAAAAATAAAATAAACATTTTACATGAAAATATTTTGTTTAAAAAAAAATTCACAAGAAAAACATTTTAGGTCCAAACAAACAGAGCTTTAATTGCAAATCATTTTGCTAAGCTGTCTTGGTTATGGTATTAGACTTGGTAATAAACATAATTTTTATTCGAATTCGATTGGAATCTGATTTGACAATTCATATATGAATTAAAATATTCAAATTTAATAATTTGATAGCCAAATAAATTGAATATGAATTATAGTTGATTTAATTTAGAATTGTTATAAATATTAACTCTCTCCAACTCACTCAAGAGTCTGCTGACATCGAGAGATTTTACAATTATGTATCAAATATGATATTATACAGCCAGATGTCACTCTTTTGAGGTGGGAATTATACATATTCTCCTAGCTCCTCACAAGTTATAACCCTTGTCCTTAAACCCCTTGCATTTTTCACTATCTACACATTTCTCAACACATCTTTATTTATAGTCTTCAACCCTAATTTCCCGTTGGATAATGATTCTCCAACCTACTTACGAAGAGTTACTATATTATTCAACTCTAAAACAACAACCTAATATTTCCCAACTCTTCAGCCTCTTTCTGCAAGTATTGTGGCTCTCAAAACCCCAATTGAACTGGGTCCAATGGTTCCATCTTCATTCATTCCAATTCAAATGGTTTTAAATAACTTAAACACGTTCATTTGTCAGAACATTACTTGCACCCTAAATTCAAGACACAAAACTCAATAATCTCCACCTTGGTTTGAACTTGGTCTTCACGTGTTCCTCCATAAATTCACATCGAACAAAAATTTCTTCATAGTTTCACCTTAACTGAAGTTCGTTCCACATCAATCAAAACACAATGATGAAATTGAGAATCACTATAACAAAAATTATAGTTTATTCAATTTAATAATAATCCATTTTGTATGTTACAAATTTATTATCTAAAGTGATATATATAATATTTACATATTATTGAAATATTTTATTTATAGTTATATTTTCAATATTTATATACTATATCATATTATTCAAATATTGATTTTGGAGCTTTCATTTGGACAATGAGTTCTCAAATAATTCAAGGCCCTTTTGACAAAAAATGAGTTTGAGAGACTCGTCCCACATAATCTGATCTCTTTTTACTAGGGTTAGGAATAAGATATTTAGGCATAGACATACTAAATTGTTTAGCCGTTCTAAACAAGTCGAGTTGGAGCTTGACTTATTTTTCAAGCTCGTCTGAATATTGTGTGTGCGAATAAGCTCGTATATTTAAAAAGGCCCATATTTTTAAAAGGTTCAGCCCATATCATGTAAGTTTTGAGCCCTTCTCTGATCTCTTGGTCCAATATTTTAACTCTTAGCCCAACAGCAATATCTAAAAGACTCAATCTCAGCCGTTGAAATCATGTCAAAACTTGGATTTGTTAATGGCCCGCTTGATGTTGCTACTGTATTGAGGGGGGAAAAAAACAAGAAAAAAATTATAAGTAGGGTTGACACAAAATTGCTATTAGGAAGCATATGCGTGTTTGATGATATATTATATTCAAAATAAGAACGGATAGAATTGTTCTAAGAAAAAACGATTAGTGAAAATACAGAACATTTACTTTAAAAAGACTTGTAAAAACTAAGTTTAGCTTATTCAAAAAAGTCTACTGATACTAAAGCTTGGATCGGCTCATTTTGCAATCATAATCGAGAGCATAAAAAATACCTTCGGCTATATTTGGTTGCATGAAGTTGGGGATTTAGAATTAGAATTGGAATTTATAAAATTGAAGAAAAGTAACTTACAAAATTGAACCAAATTTTTCACCAATTTCACCGATTTCAATTTCACATGTCTAGTAATAGACTATATTTCAATTTCACGTATCTAATAGTAGACTATGGAATACTCTAATGTTACGTTAGTGTGCATGAATCGAATGTCCATTTTAACCATTTTTTTGTTTGGTGTGTAATTTCCATTCCTGTGAATGAAAATCTATTCCACAACTAGACCTTTGAAATGGTTATTCTATTCCCAAATAATTTTTTTAAAAAAATTCAGCTTCCCAAAAAACCCTCATTTTCCAAGTTCAAAAACCACCATTACCTTCTACCACAACTACCTCTGCCTTGCACCACCACCAACTTCCACCACTACCACCACCTTCTACCGCCATCACCACCACCATCGACTTTCACCACCGCCCATCGCTTTCTACCACCACCGCCGCCACCTCCATCACCATCACCGCCATCAGCTTTTTCCACCGTCGCCACATTCCACCATCGCCATCGCCTTTCACCACGTACAACCACCACCTTCACCATCACTGCCTTCCACCACCGCCACCACCACCGCTATCACATTCTACTGCTACCACCTTTCATCACCACCACCACCACTGCCTTTCACCACCACCACCGCCATCGCCTTCTGTTGCCACCGTCTTCCACTACCATTACCACTACCACCACCCACGCCTTCCACCACCACCACTATCACCACCATCACCATCTTCCACCACCATCACCGCCACTACCTTCCACCACCACTGCTGCCATCGCTATCGCCACCACCGCCACCCCTTCCACCGCCGCCACCTCTACTACCTTCCACCACCACCATCACCTCCTTCCACCACCGCCACTTCTACTGCCTTCCACCACCACCACAGTCACCTCCATTGATTCTCACCACCGTCACCTACACCACAATCTCCTTTTACTACCACCACACCACTACTACCACCGCTTTCCACCAACATCACTGCCGCCTTCCACTACCACCACCGATTCCGCCTTCCACCATTGCCACCACCACCGCCTTCCAACACCATCACCTACACCACTACCACTTTCCACCTCTACCACCATCCGCCACCACTTATTTTTTAAAAAATTATAGAAGAATGTCATTTTGTTAATTTAATTTATTTATTAGTAAGAGGAATATTTTGGAGAACTCAATTTGAAATTTATTCTATTCTAAATTTTAAATTGGTTCAACCAAATACTAGAATGGTTATTATCATTTCATTCCTACACATTTCATATTTATAACCAAATACTAGAATGGTTATTATCATTTCATTCCTACACCTTTCATATTTACAACCAAATAATAAAATAAGAATGGCCATTCCAATCCATTCCAATTCTCATTCAATTCTCACTTACTTTTCATTCCATTCTAACACACCAAACGTAGCATAAGGGTATGTCTGGATTGAGAGATTTGGAGGGATAATGAGGAAACGAAAATCAAGGATAAGGTAGATTGTGTTTGGGTGGTTTAAGATGAGAGAAAATAAATGATAAGGAAAGATAGCTATGCTTCCTTATCCCTCATATCCTATATCTCAAAAAATGAGATAAAGAGAGAAAAGATAGTGTTTAATATTTTCAAAATTTTGAAACTGTCCTTAACAATTAAAAGGAAAAAACTATTACTCCCCTCATATCCCATCTATTTGATAGGGCATGATAGTTTTTTCATCGTTGACACCTCTTTTCTGTTTTTTTTCTTCCATCTATCATGTCGAAACAAAAATACTATCATTTTTTTTTTCTCCTATCTATCCATTAATAGGAATTATTGTTATTATTTCATTTATTTTCTTTTATCTCATAGCAAAAAAATAATAAAAAATTAGACTAATTCCAACTTCAATCTCACTTGTCTATGAAGTACTTGGGCACGTTCAAGAACTACAGTGTGGTCCATCAAGCATCATCTATTCAATTCAATTCAATGATGTCTCATCCAGCCTCATGAATGTGCAACAAATACCCCATCAACTACCGTGAAACTCTTCAGTCTAACGTTGTCTCATTCAGTATACAATTAACACAAGGGACCCACTAACATACAGTAAAAAACTTTTAAAACATCCCAACGTTGACAGCACTCTACCATACGTGTATCTATATATATATACAGATATAATTGCATATACAGATGCACGTATACAGTATATCTAATTTGACCCCTTTGTTGCTCATATCTGTGTTAAAGTAATAGGAATTATTGCCGACCAAAAAGGGACAATAGGATTGAAATTATATGCAAGTATTTAACTAGGCAGATGAGTATTACATTAAGAAATTGAACTTATACTGGATCACATGGGTTGCTTACAATCAGATGTTGAATGTCACTTTTTTTTTTTTACCTTCAATTCTCTGATTGACGATTCTGATGTTTTTTGGTTGGCACCTCCACCATCTATGGATGAGAAGAATCCATTTAAAATCTGATGACAAGTAATATTCAAATAGTTCGAGGGTAATTTCGTCATTTTACCTACAGATCTCGAGACTCAAATCACATTGGTTCTCCTAGAAGATCTGAACAACATTTATTTATATCAAAGAGCATGTGCCCAGCGAATACCAGAAATATTGGGGTCAATTTCGTCATTTTAGTCCATTACATGTGTTTGTAAATGTCTATACTATATATATATATTACAGGAAGGAAAAGACATCCTACAAAAAAGGTTCTTAATGGAAGATTATATGATGTTCAAGTGAAAATTAAACCTTCAAATGTCAAAAATACCCCTAGTCCCGACAGTGCAGCTGTTTGTCAAGAAAACCATGTGCCTTTGAATGGCTTGTTTTTATCCTCCACGACCAGTTCACCGGAATAACTTCATGCTATATTCTGAGTATGAAGAGGTGGAGGGCTGTTTAGGTCATTTCAGGTTGCTTAAAATAAATTCAATACGCATCAATAATTGCACTTAATTCAAGAAATTTCAATTATATTTACTATTATCCCTCATTATCTTAAATAATACATGTGTAAATTGTAATAGAAAATCAACTCAGTTTTGGACAAAAAGAGTTTGCTAGCACTAGCAGACATTGTGGTTAATTAGATATTGGTTGGTAACGACAGTTGTAGTGGCATTTCTGTTGTTTATTCAAAACTAAGGGGCCTTCTCATGAACAGAAATACATAAAACCCATTGCCAAGCCGTGTGATTTCGACGCAAACAAATACTAGTACATTATATCTCTCTCTTCCCGGCACAATGTTGAGGTTCGCCGGACTGTTACTGCTACTTTGTGCAACCTGCCATCTCGTCTCATCCCTCACTGACGGTAAGCTTCTCTCACTTTTTGGTCAAACCTTTTCCAAGCTTTTATATTTGCTGTGTTTTTGTATTCATACATTTATATATATATATATATGTACTATATAAATACAATTATACAAAAATGTAAAAATACGTGACATATTTAACATATAGGTATTTTACAGTTTTAGACAAGATGGCTAGTGTTTTAGCTTTCAGATCTTTTATTAAATTTGGGTTAAAGTACATTTCCTATATATGAATGCTGAATTCTGTTGAAATATTGTTATTGGATTTTTTATTTTATTTTTAATATCTCAACAGTATTAATTAGTTCAAGGTTATTTACAGTTCTATATATGCCTCCATTCTCTTAGCTGATTGAGTCATATACATATATATATATATATATATATATATATATATATTTATTTATAGGAATAAGTACAGAAAACAGCCTAAAGTATACTCCATGTAGCGTTTTTACTCCTTATTTGAAAAAGTGTATTGTGCAAAAATACCCCATTTAGCATAAATTAATGTTGTAATAACCGTTTTACCTTTTTACTCTTCAAAAAATGCCATAGGGTATATATGCTACTAATCTCATAGTATTGGGTGTTATGTACACATTACCTTATATATATATATTTTTTGAAAACTTTTTTCTCTATAAATGTTTCTAAACATTTTTTTTTTTTTTAAATTTTGAGAATTTGTGGAACAATGATTCGAATTTTTTGAGATTTCAGTTTACTCTTTTCTAAATTTTTTTTTTCTTTATTTTATTTATTTTTCGTACCAACACTGTTAAACAAAAAAATAAATAAATAATTCCCGATATCAGTGTGTACTGGTTTTCGAAGTTTGGAAAATTTTGTTTTCTTTAATTTGCACCTTATTTTTGTTTTTTTATTTTCTAATTTTATCTTTACTTTTGTTTTATACTTTTATTTTTATTTTATATTTTTATCTTTACGTGTTCGTTGCCAGCGTCCTCCAATAGTGTCATTTTTTATCATTTTATAAAATTATTTATTTTTATATATTTTATAAAATGATTTAGTAAGAGTAATTTAGTCAATTTAGGGTTTAAATTTGTCAAAGGGACCTATTTGCACCAGATTAAAACTTTAGGGGTGTTTTTTGCAAAAGGGGACATCCTCTAATACTTTTCGATCATTTTACAAAATTATTTATTTTTATATATTTTATAAAATGGTTCAATAAGAGTAATTTAGTTAACTTAGGGTTTAAATTTGTCAGATGGCCTTATTTGGACCAAATTAAAACTTTAGGGATATTTTTTTACACGTAAAAGATGTGACATGCACTATATACATATATTAAGAGTGTTTTTTGCACTAGACCCTTGTTATATCTTTGCATTTTCCCATTGGTATAAAAGCTAATGTTGAACAAATTAAAAAATTTCTAAGTAGTTTAAAAGAAGTTTTGTTGGTTGAGTTGTGTTGCGACGGGGACGTCGAACCTCTAAGGAGGGGTGGATTGTGATGGTCTTGTGGGCGGGTGCGAGAAACACTGTCAGGTTATCACACTGACGAGTTATAGGTGCACAGTCACACATCGTCTGGGTAGAGGAAAGGTGAAGTGCTTATATATAAGTGTGTCATCTCCAATTGTTATGAGGCCTTTTGGGATGAAACCCAAGAGCAAAACTGTGCGGACTCAGGCCTAAAACGAACAATATCATACCATGTGATGGAGTGAGTCGTTACAACAAACTAAGTCATTTTATACCAACATTCTAGATCTGTATTTATTTTAGCTTATAAGGTTGTTGGACAAGTGTAAATATGAAATTTAAATCCCTAATACAAATGGGCAAACCTCAGCTGTACAATACTAGACAGTTGATCACCACACCCAATGTTGTGGGTGGTCAATGGACTATTAGCTATAGAATAATAGATGGTCCTGTTTAATTTATGCTCATCTGGACCAATTTTTTATTATTATTTAAATAAAATAAAATAAACCAAAAAACAAAAAATAAAAAGAGATTGATCCTTATCTTGCATTAACTTATCCAATTAATTGCACATTCAATGAAGTGGTAGCTTACGTCTAGCTTTGTCACCAACCTCATTTGTCTCAAGCCAACATTGGGAAATTCATAATATCCATATAATTGTTATTGATGGTACAGGCTATATACATAATATAATACGTAGTACTACACTATAGGATATACCTAAATCTATACTGAAAAAAGGTTTAGGGAAGCTATAAAAAAAAAAACCATTTACACGTGTATTAAAATTTCAAAGTTCAATACACAAAAATGTGAAGTTAGTTTTAATTATAATTAAAGCTTAACAAAACTTGTCATTTTATACCCATTGAACTTTGAGTTTTTATATATTTATAATTAAATGTATTATTGGAGATTTGGCAATCAAATTTTGTGAACTATATAGTAGTAGTATATTTATACTGGAAAGACAACACTACTCCCCCTTTTATCATGTGAGTCCATAGACAAAGCATGTGATGACCTAGTGGAAATAGTTGTACCTTACAAATAAATTAAAGCCAAGCGGTGTATATATATGTGTGTGTGTGTGTGTACAGCATTCAGGCTAAGGTAAATTGTTTACATTATTGTTGTTCTCCTTGAACTTTTAAGGACCATGATGGTTCTTTTTAATTATAAGCATTCTCTCAAATTGTTATATAAGATTTGGAATTTTAGTGAAGACAAATAAGATAAAAATGTAATTCATCGCAAACGAATTTTGATATAAAATTTTGATCATATAATCCTCTATTGAATGGTCAAGCGCATAAATTCATATTTATGTACAAGATTAAACTAAAAATTAGTGTTTACATGAGGTTGATTTCATTGTACCATTTTTTTGTGAACTTTTTCAGGATTATTACCCAATGGCAACTTCGAATTCGGCCCCAAACCATCGCAAATGAATGGCACCAACGTGGTAGACCGCAATGGCATACCGAATTGGGAGATTTCAGGGTTCATCGAATACATCAGATCGGGTCACAAACAAGGAGACATGTTGCTAGTAGTCCCCGAAGGAGCCTTTGCGGTGAGGCTTGGGAACGAGGCGTCAATAAAGCAGAAGGTGAAGGTCATAAATGGAATGTTTTATTCCCTCACATTCAGTGCAGCTCGGACCTGTGCACAAGAGGAGCAGCTAAACATATCGGTGTCACCGAATTCAGAGCCTAAGGATTGGGGCATGCTACCAATGCAGACAATGTATAGCAGTGATGGTTGGGATTCGTATTCATGGGGCTTCTTGGCTGAGTCCAAAGAAATAGAGATTATGATCCATAACCCAGGTGTTGAGGAAGATCCAGCTTGCGGCCCACTTATTGATTCCGTCGCATTGAAGGCTTTGAATCCTCCAAAACGAACCAGAGGTGATCCTTATCCCAAAATACTTTAATATTCCTGAAATATTGATGACATGATATCATTGACGACTCTTTTTTTCAATCGCCTAAGATCTACATTTTGAATGGGTATTACCCTGTGACCTAGTTATTAGAGCGCCCAACTTTCTGAATGAATGTGCCGTGTTCGATTCCACCATTGCCTTAGTTTGTCAAGGGGAAAAAATATTCATTGGTTGAACATGTCATTTGTCCCTCTTCTGTTACTACCCTAGAACTAATATCCTATATGGCCCAGTTAAAACTGGAACTATTGGGCCTTTGAGGCCCAAAGGTCAAGACAAGCTCGTGTTCATTATTTGGTCACTCAAAATCTTTTTCTACCACTAAAATGCAAAATACTCTGGCATCATGCTGATCCCAAGTTCACAAGTTTGTGCAATACACAAATAAAATTTGAATTTCTCTGTTTCTTCATGAATTATGTTTATATAAAGATATATGTCTACGACTCTATATAGATTTTTCACTTTCAAAAGCTAATTTATTTACATTTTTGTTGCAGTCAACTTGTTGAAGAACGGGAATTTTGAAGAAGGTCCATATTTGTTCCCCAACACATCTTGGGGTGTCCTAATACCCCCCAACATCGAGGATGACCATTCTCCGTTACCGGGGTGGATGATCGAGTCTCTCAAGGCCGTGAAATACATTGATTCGGAGCACTTTGCCGTGCCAAAGGACAAGCGAGCAGTGGAGCTCGTTGCAGGAAAAGAGAGTGCCATTGCACAGGTGGTCAAGACGGTCCCCGGCAAGGTCTATGACCTCACATTTGCGGTGGGCGACGCTAGCAATTCATGTGAGGGGTCCATGGTGGTCGAGGCATTTGCTGGCACGGTCACACTTCATGTCCCTTATGAATCAAAGGGCAAAGGTGGGTTCAAGAGTGCCAAGCTTCGGTTCAAAGCAGTGTCGAACCGGACCAGGGTCAGGTTCCTAAGCACATTTTACACCATGAAGAGCGACAACTCTGGCTCATTATGTGGTCCAGTGATTGATGATGTGAAATTGGTTAGTGTTCGTAACCTACGACATGCATGATCAACATAATTTATGCCACTATATCTATGTGGTGTTGGATTACTTATGCAGATCAATATCTGATTTGATCTATGTATTAATTGGTACAAGAAGCTTAGATTTGTGTTGATGTTCATTAATGTATCTATAGGTTTTTAAGGAGTGGAATGAGCAATCCAAATTACTTCACAATAATGATTGTGTTAGTGCATTTCCTCACCCCCTTCTCCTAATTTGCTATTTAGAACGAAAACTCTAACCAAAAAGGCTAAAAGAACAATTTAAGAACATTAAAAAGCCACAGACCATGCATTAACATTGACCGAGTACAACATTATATATCTAAATTATTAGAATATTTGAAAAAGAATAATGATTCTTGAACCTAAAAGTCTAATTCTAACCGAGAGATTAGGTGGCATAGTTCTTTAAGAAACTCCGAAAATTACAATAATGGAGTTATTTTCATTTATCAGGGGTTGCCTTAATCACATATTAATAAGTTTAGTCACATGAATTATATATATGTATATATATCACAAATGATAATTTTTTCTATTATATTATTAATTTTTTAAAATTATTTTTAATAATCCATATACGCATTTAGAGTCCAAAAATTATAGTTATATAAAAATTTCAAAGCGAGTGTACACAAATATCAACCAAGTAAAGTATTTACAGTTGTGCACAAATTCTGTCACCATCTAAAAATGGGCATTAATGACAGTAATTTGATCATCATGTTTAATGTACAGTGATCAATTACTGGTATATATATATTTTACTTAATTTTTTTTCTTTTTTTTAGAACACGTGTATCGATCCCACAATACACGCAGCATTCAAATTAGGAGTACGGTTACAAAGCAAGACTTCAAGAATAGTAAAAACAGAAATCTACAAATTGTTTTTAAAGATAGAAAAGAAAATCTACAAATTGTTTTTAAAGACAGGGAAAAAAATCGCTAAAGACTCTTTTTCTTCTTAGTTCTCATTAATTTTACCCGAAGTACAAAAAATATCAAATGAGTTACTCGATCTTCTATGCATTGCTCCAACCAACCCAAACAAATTCCAATCGATGATTAGTTTAGTTACTATAATTTCTCCCCTTCCACTAAAAAAAACGTGAGTGATTCGGGTCTGAACATACTTTTGTGGAGATTTTTGTGAGTATTTATTTTTATTTAAAAAAAAAATAGAAAAAACACACACAAAATAAAATGAAGGAATGTTTCACGAACATAAAACGACAGAAGACGCATGCATATTCATGATAAAAAATCTGCCAATTTCGAAGGCATGAAGTTGGAGAATACAATGTCAAATCTATCAACTAAGTGGCATGGAGTATGTAATGAAAATATTGACATTCCAATATATATATATATATATATATATAGTCACACCTATATATGCCCCCACCGTCCGTCCCATCCAAGAAATGAGACAATCGTGGACTGTATGTTTGTGTCTGGATTAATTAGTCTGGTCTTTAGGAATTGAAATTATTAATATTGCATGGAGTATGTAATGAAAATATTGACATTCCAATATATATATACAATCGTGGAATGTATGTTTGTGTCTGGATCAATCAGTCTGGTCTTTAGGAATTGAAATTATTAATATGAACGCAATGTGCCATGAATTTCATGTTAATTGACCAATAAAATTTAGTTGGCATGATTAATATATACTTTTTACTGATTCTTTGCCGGACAAAAGTTCTGGTTTACTTTTATATCAACTTCTGGATTCGACTTCTTTCAAACTTCAATCAATTATGTATGAATATTAGATAATTATGTAGTATATCCTAAGAAAATAGTCTGGTATTTGGAGGATAGGATTTAACTCGAACAAGAACGGATTCAGGAATTGTCAATGGGCGTGGACTAATAGTAAACATAAATTTAATAACACAATTTCTTAAAGAAAAAAAAAAGTTTATAACATAATAGATAAATATTTGAATTCAAAGATTACAAAATATCTATTTAAGTTGTGCTCGACGAGTCTTTAAAGACTCAAATTCGTTGATAATAGTCTCAAAGTCAATTTTCCAAAGAAGGTCCCGTTCAAGGTTGATAATCATGCAGTCGGCAAGAAATTCATCTCCTATCATGCTACGCATCGCTGTTTTAACACGTCTCATGCCTGAAAATTCTCTCTCCGTAGTTGTAAAAATAGGAAGAGTCAGCACAAGACGGATCAATCTGTCAACCAAAGGGTAGTACTCGAACTTTCTTTTTAGAACTACTTCCCTACATAAATCAGTAAGAGAAGAAATATTCTGAAACTCAAGATCACTAGTTACATCAAGTTGATAATGCATCAACTGAAACTTCAATTGTTTAACATCTTGACTAGTGAAGTCCTAAGGATAGAATTTCTCAGCAAGATTGCATATCTTTTCCACATTAAAAGATTTAAAAGAATCACTAGGATCCAAAGCCGAGCTAAGAGTAAGAAGTTCCATTACTTCGTTGTTGAATCTATGTTCTAACTCCATCAATTGTAAATCTATTGTAGAGTTGAAAATCTCAAAGTGATAATGGTGCTCAACTGTAATATAATCTTGTTGCTGACAATGATGACCCGTATCCTTTACATAAGGAGAACTCAAATCAGGTATATCAATGTTATGTCAATTGCAAAATGACACCACATTTGCAAGAAAAATATCCCAATCATCTTGTCTGAATTTTTGAAGGAGAGTTTTGGTTGTTGGGACTAATTTCAAAACATTTAGAATGTCTTGAGATTTGCGTTGCAAGGTCTGACAAAGTACGTTAGTGAATCCCATAATGTTATCCATTAAGTGCAAAATAAATAGGAATTCAAAGCTTCTCATTGCCTTGTAAACACCTGAAGCTTGCCCACGAATCTCTTGATTTTGCCCACCCTTTCTAAGATTTTCAACAACTTTACAGGATGCAGTATACATATCAATCAAGTTTCTCACAGAATCATAATGTGAGCTCCATCGAGTAGCTCCTGCTCGATGCAAGGTGCCAATTAGATTAGCCCCTTTACCAGATTGATGTTCACCTGTGCTCAACATCCGTGCAATCTCATCCCTTTGAAAAGATTCTAATTCACCAAGATGCTTGGGAGATGAAGCAACAAGATTGACAATACAAGTCAGGTGAGAGAAGAATTGCCAAATATTTGGCTCATCTTTAGCTGCAGCAACTAATGCTAGTTGTAATTGATGAGCCAAACAATGGATATAATAAGCAAATGGGCAATCTTTAAGAAATAATGCTTGTAATCCATTCCATTCTCCGCGCATATAACTAACACCATCGTACCCTTGACCTCTCAAATTTTGAATTGAAAGATCGAACCGAACAGGAATATCAGATATTGCATCTTTAAGTGTTACCGCTAATGTGTTTTCAACTCCCACTATGTCAAAAAAACGTTCCATTAGCAAACCATTATGGTTGACATCTCGTAAAACAAGAGCCATTTGCTCCGTTTCAGACTCATCTTGTGCTTCATCAACAAGAATACAATATTTGCCTCCCGCAATTTCATCACAAATAAGTTTTCTCACTCTGTTTGCAAGAATATGAAGAATCTCCTTTTGAATCGATGGAGCAATGTATTGGGCATTTTGCGGAGCATTGTCTAAGATAATGCTTGAGATTTCATCATTTCCTTCTGCTTTGTACTTTAACACTTCAATAAAATTCCCCCGATTTAATGAACTTCAACTTTCTTCATGGCCTCTAAACCCAATTCCTTGCAATGCTAGAAAGCGAACGATTTCAATACTTGCTTTAAGCCGCATTCGATTCTTCAAAAAACCTCTTCATTGTTATTGTTATTCATTGTTATTTTAACCCTAATAAAATTAAAGAATGAGTTAAATTAAAAATACAAAATCAAACTAAATTGCTATTATTCCTCCTAGCAACTTACACTAGATATAAGCATTTATCAATAAAAATAGAATGAGAAAATCAAATATTCAAATACTCCTCCAAATTTGAGGAATTTTAATCAGTAAACTAAATTAGTTGAGGAAATGGTACCTGTATGTGCTTGAGAATACAAAACCTGACAAATCAACAACCTCAAGTTCTCAGTCAAAGCATCCCTCCAGCCTTTCCATGATCTCCATTCGGACCATCTTTATTGTCTCTGGATTCTGAAATCAACCAACCCATTTTAGAATTTAGCCCCTCCCATCCACCGCAAATTACAACATATCCGGAGATACACATTTAAAAAATGCACAATGAAATTATGAAACATCCCATTTAATTGCTGAATGTTGAGTACTAATGCTCTAGAATAAAGAAAAAAAAAAAAAAGAAATTTAACAATGGTAATCGACCCTTAATTAAGCAGCCAGCATAGCTGGCGCCATCATACATAAATTGGAGTTGCAAAGAAAATTTAAACTACTCCGTATAACCAGCATAGCCAGAGCCATCAGAAGACCTGTGCAAATTAATAGAAAGAACCATTAACTTTTGTTCTGTTAAAACCTGCTCTTGATTTCCATGTGTTTGTACATTCTGATGGCAAGTGCTTTGACAGTTTGACAGTATTATTAATTGAAATTCTAGCTGAGCCAACTTCAAATAACATCAATGATGGTGGTATGTATCTTCGTATAAAAATAATATATATATATATATATATATATATATATAAACCCTTAATATTTCAAAGAAAGATCGATTCATGCAAAAGGAGAGAGAGAGAGAGGATGAACATACCTTGTCACGGTGTCACCTGCGCCTGCGGGGATAGCGGAGGCTGCGTCCTGCGGAGTGTCGAAGCAGATTGTGTCGTCTGAAAAACTTGCCCCAACTTAAATTGTGTCGTCTGAGGCCCTGCTTTTAGGTTTGGAATTTCTGATTTCTTATCACACTACCAGACTAGGGCTTGTTTGGCTTTGGGTGTTAGCTGACTTGGGTTGGGCTTGTTTAGATGGCCTAATAGTAGTAGTAATAAATTATTTTTTTGGGCTGGGCTAGGTAAGGCTGAGCCTGCTCAATCCCCCCTTAGATCCCGGCAGTGAACTCGAAAGATAAGTGCTTCACTACTTTTAATTACTCGTCGAATTATAGTGAATCATATTATACTTATATTTCTCTTTTCTCAATTATTTATGAATAAATTAGCTCAGAATATGATGTGACATACTGTACATTGTGAATTTAAATAAAAGTACACACGTCGATACAGAAAAATTCAACTTATAAAAAATTTGAGATTTTCCAAGCAGAGAATCCTTAATTATCCGCATGCATATATATATATATATATATATTGTTAATGTTCATTAATGTATCTATAGGTTTTTAAGGAGTGGAATGAACAATCCATCTACTTCACAATAATAATTGTGTTAGTGCATTTCCTCACCCGGCCCCTTCTCCTATTTTGCCATTTAGAACGAAAACTCTTACCGAAAAAGGCTAAAATCACAATTTAAGAACATGAAAAAGCCATGGACCATGAAGCATCAAAATTGACCGGAGAGCTTTGGCTTTTAGTCCCGTTTGACATGCGTTTTTTATTTTTGCTGTTTTTATTTTTGAGCTATTACATTATTAATTTTGACAACAAAAGCATATTTAGTGCGACTTTATTTTATTTTATACAGTGCTAAAACACTTTGTGAACAGCAATTCAAAACTAAAACATTAAAAAGTTATTTGTTCTTATTTTGACAACTGCTCATGGCCTAAAACTATACCTATGTATGTTTTCATTTTCGACAGTTCTACAACAAAATATCGTTCCCAAACGTGTTTCCGATTTTTTTCCAAGGCATTCATACAGCAAAAACAATGTTTTTGTTTTAGCCAAAAATAAAATGCCTAAAACAAAGTGCATGTCAAACGGGCCCTTAGTTTCTCTATATCATAGAGCATTATATATCTAAATTATCATAATATTAAAAAAGGATAATGATTCTTGGATCTAAAAGTTTAATTCTAACGGCGATTAGGTGACATTGTGATTTTGAAAAACTTGATAAATTACAATAATGGAGTTATCTTCACTTATCATGGCTGCCTTAATCATATATTAATGAGATTAGTCACATGAGTTATATATATGTATATATATCACAATTGATCATTTTTTTTTATATTATATTATTAACTTTTTAAAATTATTTTTAATAATCCAAATACGCATTTAGAGTCCAAAAATTATAGTTATATAAAAATTCAAAGCGAGTGTAAAATATCAACCAGGTAAAGTATTTACAGTTGTGCACAAAATCTCTCTCCATCTAAAAATGGGCATCAAGGCATTAATGAGAGTCATTTGGTCTTCATAGTGATTAGGGATGGCAATTTGACCTACCCCATCCCGTTCTTTTTTTGGCGATTTTAGGAGACCGTTTTGTTTATTTGGGCAGGGATGATTTAATGTAATAAAAGTCTGCGCAGGTTTGATGCGTGAACGGGGAAGGTCGCCCCGCCCTGTTTAAATAGGCAAATTACATAAGTACCCTTATTTCATTAGTATATATATTTACCACTAAATATTAAGTACCCCATATAATAATATTAAAGTAATAAATGAATTTGATTAAAAGGAAAGTTGTAATGGTGAAAAATTGAAGGAAAAAAAAAAAAAAAAACAAATCTATTTCAACAACAAATAAATTATGGTCTTAAACGGGACGGAGCGGACACTCGCAGGAGTAAAAATGTTAAATGGATACAGGGATGGGGTGGAAAGTTCTCCCGTTTTTATGGTTTTGGGTGGGGACGGGGGCGAAATTTTTAAATGATTGCATAAACATAGGAAGATTCACCCGCCCAAACCTGTCCCGTTACCATCCCTAATAATGATCAATTACTGGTATACAAATATTTTACTTATTTTGGTTGGTTGAACTATTAGTGTTCCCATCACTTTTATTTTAGGGTCCTAAATTTACATTTAATTTTAGTAGGAGATATGACTTATGATAAATAAAACAAAATTGAAAATAAAGAATTTATATGTCCGCCTTGGTATGTAAAGGATAAAGACAAGAATGGAAATGATGAAATAAATGAGTAAGAGAATATAATAATACTAAAAAAGAGTAAGAGAATATATGTCCGTGTAGATGAAAATATATTGTAATTTGTATTTTTCTCAATTTATGGCTGTTGATGACAGCGTTCAAAAGTGAATGTAATTTGTATACTTGTTAAGGGCAATTTGGTAATTTGAAGTATACAAAGTATTTAACTAACAATTAACCATAAATATATTATGAATTATTCTCCTTTCGTAACTTTTTAACAATTGAAGGGGACGAATTTCATTCAAAAGCTAACTTGCAAAATTGTATAGATTTTTAATTTTTTGTGGTGAATCAGCCAATTAATAAGAATGATGAGAGAAAGATAACAATAAATTGTTTCAAAGAGAAGTTATCTTTTGTCCCCAATTTCTCCGACTTTTCAATAAAACATTCCGATGAAATCTACAAATTGTTTTTAAAGATTGGAAAAGATTCTTTTTCATTCTAGTTCTCATTAATTTTATCAGAAGTACAGAAAATATCAAATGAGTTACTCGATCTTCTTTACATTGCTCCAATCAACTCAAACAAAATCCAATCGATGATTAGTTTAATTAGTATAATTTATCCTCCTTTAAAAAAAGTGAGTGATTCGGATCCTGAACATACATTTGTGGAGATTTTTGTGAGTATTTATTTTTATTTAAAATATATATATAGAAAAAACACACACAAAATAAAATGAAGGAATGTTTCACGAACATAAAACGACAGAAGACAGCATGCACATTCATGATATAAAATCAGCCAATTTCAAAGGCATGAAGTTGGAGAATACAATGTCAAATCTATCAACTAAGTGGCATGGAGTATTTAATGAAAATTTTGACATTCCAATATATATATATATATAAAGTCACACCTATATATGCCCCCACCGTCCGTCCCATCCAAGAAATGAGACAATCGTGGAATGTATATCAGTGTTTGGATTAATTAGTCTAGATCTGGTCTTTAGGAATTGAAATTATTAATATGAACGCAAAGTGCGTTGAATTTCATGTTAATTGACCAAGAAAATTAAGTTGGCATGATTAATATATATATTTGTTCATACTAATTGCTGCATAAAGATTAATCCAAAATATTAACTTTATGACTTTATGCAAGGTATGTTAGCGCACTGATTGTTTGCCGGACAGAAGTTCTGGTTTACTTTTATATCAACTTCTCTGGATTCGACTTCTTTCAAACTATAATCAATTATGTATGAATATTGGATAATTATGTAGTATATGTATATCCTAAGAAAATAGTCTCCACTATGATGTGATTGATTGTAGGTATTGCATTTAGAGGATAAGATTTAACTCGGAAAATGATTGCTTCACTAGTTTTAACTAATTAAAGTGAATCTTACTCCGTATGATATTTCTCTTTTCTCAATTATTTCTGAATAAATTAACTTACAATATGTAAGACATGATGTGATACCGTGAATTTAAATAAAAGTATACACATGGATACAGAAAAATTCAACTTATAAAAAATTTGTAGATTTTCCACTAAAAGAATCCTTAATTATCCACATGCATATATATATATATGTATGAATGTCTTTAAGTTTTTTTATTGATTTTTTGAGATTTAGAAGTGTAGTGCAATACAGTACCCAATTGAATGGGATACTACCATTCTTACTACATCTCACCATATGTACACAAAAATGAAGGGAACAAGGAATCTAATTGTAGGCTAATTGCTACGAATATTCCCTGTAATTATTACAGTGGAGAAAGGTTACAAAGTTGTTGAGAGAAACCTAAAGTCATTCATATAATCATTTCAAACCATATATTAGCTTCATTGTTTTTAGAGATGTGCTATATATATATATATATATATATATATATATATAGTAATAATAAGTCTTTCATTCTCAATTGTTGACTCTTCCTTCGAATACAACGTGGTTCGAAATGTGTTTGCATCCTAAAATAATTTTTTCTAATTCGGCCACAGAACATGGTAGATTTGTTTAAATTATTTTATTATTCAAAAAGGGAATATTAATTGAGATTTATTATTCTCAAACTTCTATTCAAGGACAAAAACAATTTCCAAATCAATACCTGAAATTGGTTTTATTGGGGTCAATACATGGCAACATGTGTATGTGACTCCACTTAGTATGGGATAATATATATCTTGAAGCAATTTTCTCATTTAACCGTGTAGTACATACAATGACACATCATCAAAGGGCTATATCTTGTAAGTTTAATAGAGTGATAATAAAGGCAGGTGTTTTGGAGAAAGAATTGGTGCAAAGATAAATTCAAACAAATGATGTTTGAATTTAAAAGAAAGTTTGAATTTGAATTCACAAATGAGTTGGAACTGCCAAAACCAAACGTTGCCAACTAACTCAGAAGTCTATAAATATTGATGGAGAGATCCTGCGCAAGAGGTCCCCCACCAACACAACGCATCTTTCATAATGTAGTCGTTTTCTTTTCTGTATTTCCTTATATATTTTAAATCATCTTTCATAATGTAGTCGTTTCCTTTTCTGTATTTCCTTATATATTTTAAATTGATGAATGCTTGTGCAGTATCTTGTGCTCTCTTTATTAATTTCATTCTTTGTTCTAAAAGTCCTCTTCATTGAGGCAGTGAAGAACCTGAAAGGAAAGTGGTCGCCTGAAATTCTAAAAAAGCCGATTTCTTTTTTTTGGTTGAAAGGATAAGTTTGGTTAGTTTCAATTTGAGTCGAAGACTCTGGCATGCTCCTAAAAAAAAATAGCCAAATAAGGTGTTTATGTAATTTTTTTTTAAGAGCTCC